CATACATTGAAATATTTGGAGGAGTGTGGGTAGTTTTTGTTCATTTTCTAAGCTGCACGGAGACTTCAAATTCGAATTATAAATAAATTTTATTATTAATATAAATTGTACTTTTTGAATAATTTGTTCAAATATCTTTGGAATACATATTGTCTCCAAATCAAGGGTTTTCTACTACTATCACTCAATTTCCAAATTATCAATACCTTAAAAATTTTGTAGAACTTATAAATGCAGACCAACAAGCTTCTTTAATGTGTAGTAATTTTCATGGATTTATTTATGGAGCTATATTTATAGAGCAGAAGAAGAACAATTCAATAGCAAATTGGTACATGAATTTATAATGAGGCTTGTCAACTGTGGCAAAAACAATGAAGCCTAGGTGCGGTTAGATAATCATTTGACCCGCTTTGATATGCAAGAATTTTATCTCATCACTGGATTACCTTACCATGAAGTATCTATCAATCCTTACTTTAATAATGATCGACTTAAAATTCAGTATTTGAATGGTACAAAAAGAATTACTATAAGAATGCTTTTTGAAGCATTCCACATATGTGAAGATCAAGATGATAAATTTAAACTGGGTCCGGTTATGTTCGTAGAGTATGTTTTGAAACCAACTAGAAGATTCATTGATTATAGAACTCTCAGCATGGTTGAGTACCTTGACGACTTTCTTGTTAAAAGGATTGTAAGTACTCATTACATGAATATCTGCTTGCATTCCAGGTATTTTTCTTCTATTTTTTTTATTCTTCACCTGTCTATAGTTTATTCGTATAAGAAATAAATTGTATATATCTAAAATTTATTTTCAATTATGTTGTAGTATTGGATATACAAAATATTTCTAGAAATTGGACAAAAATCTGGACTCCATAGATATAAAACATTACAAAGTCCACCAATGCACAAATGGAAGCCAAATAAAATATTGACCGAGAAAATCGTTAAGCAATTTTTGGCTACCCAAGAAGAATGATTTTATTTTTATAAATCCACAATTACATGTAAATTTAATTATATTTGCTTATTATTTATGCATTTAATTATATTTCTTTATTCTTTTTAAAACGAAATTCAGAATAAATCATTCCAATATTTCATTACATTATGATTATAGATCCAAGTACTTGTACTGTTACATCCTAGTGAAGAAGAATTACAAACACAATGAAACAGAACTCTTTCACTGCCACTAGACAACCAACATAGTATATTAGTTGGCATTGTCAGCAAAGAATTCAACAATGTACCACAGCAAATTCCATATAACAGTGATAGCATACATGTACAACAAACGACTGTTTCTGGTCTTTCAAGGACATATAGTTTAGTTGGAGTTAGGCATAGTTCTACTTCGGTTAGCTCCATGTAACTAAAGAACAAATGGAAGAGATACTGAACATATATGAACAACATATAGTGTCAGATGTATCTGGTTTGTCCAACAACTTGAAAGCACACATTGTTGAAGAATCAAGAAAACAAGAAACCCACTACCAAATAATTCTTCAAAACCAAAAAGAATTGTTGAACAATATAAAAAACGTCAACAAGATCACTATCAGCACATGCAATCTAGCATGCAATTTTATGTGGATAGTCCAGGTTTGTGTGAAATTTGTTTAACACACGCATTTGCTGAGGAATCACAAAAACAAGAGCTCACTACCAAGCAATTCTTCAAAATCAAAAAGAATTGTTTGAACAATATAAAAAATGGCTACAAGATCACTATTAGCATATAAAATCATATGTGGATAGTTCAGGTTTGTGTGACAATTTGTTTAACACGCACATTGCTGAAGAATCACAAAAACAAGAAGCCTACTACCAGACAACTCTTAAGAACCATAAACAATTTTTCCAACAGCAGCAAAAATGGCAAGAAGATCACTACCAGGGCATGCAATCTTAGGTGGATATCATTTTACTTTCAGTGAAATCTTATATTGATGAACAAAATAAAAATATGCTAAACAAATGATCTGACTGGGAATTAAACATGGAAATCGTTACAGCTTCTCTACAACAAAATATTCATGTCCATAGGAGTCCAATTTGTGGTACCTAATCAAAGCACCCCTAAACATCTCAACAAATTGAACGTGTTGAAATTTTGACGAAAGAAAAGAAAACTAAGGGGAGAAAGATACAGTATTCATTGTCATCCATAGGTTATCCTTTAGAAGACTATCTTATGGACATGTACACAACAATTAGAGATTGGCTACTGCGGAATCCATTAGGGTAACAAATCTAAGTCTACTCTATTAGATTGAATATTATAATTTTCCTTTGATTTATTTAACACTAATTTAAATTATGTTATACGGTACATATTGGGAAGATGGAGCTAACAATATTCACAGAAGAGACATGTTAAAAACTATAATGGATACAACTAAAGATATGGATGCTGCGGTTAGTAAAGTTTAGTAATTATAATCAATTTCATTCCATACTTAATATATCTAATTTACATCTATTTATTCTATTAGAATATTGGCCTGGAGTTAAGGTTATTGAGGCGACTGATTAATGATGGTTGCACCCTTGTTTTTAAAGAGCATGCAATTCTCGACTTTAGATTTGAAAATAAATGTACTCGTCAAATAATATGGGAAATAAATAAACAACGAGGAAATGCCAGTGAATCTCTGAATCTAATTATCTTAGAAGAGTACATAACTGGAAAATTGCCAATTGCTGGTTGTCCATAGATAGGGTGCAATTATCTATTAATTCCATGTTCATATTTAGGCAACAGTTGGTATCTTATTGTTGTTGATTTCTGTGAATGAAAATTTGAGATATATGATTTCAGCCACATTGTTCACACACCAGAAGAAGTCAGGAGACATGCAAATGCAGTATTCAGTTAGTCCAAACATAATTGATGTCTTCAACATTTTCTTCTCACAAACCAGATTTAAGAAAACATAGAAACAAATAGATGGAGTTGGACATCATACCTTACCTACCATATGAAAACAATGTATGAACATTTAAACAGTTTACTATTTACTATAATATTTAATTTTCCGTTTAATTTGATTTTACATTTATGGTACTTATTTAGTCTAACATAAAACTATTTCTTCTATAGATCAAATTGTGCAATTTTTGTACTCAAATACATAAAATACTTCGTTCTAGGATATCCAATAGAATCAGAATTATTTTCTATATACAAACAGAAGATTGCAGTAAATATTTGTTATAATGAATTTTTCTACATCTTGTTTGTCCTGATACCAATGGATAATCAAAATTTTGTCGGCTGGAATCACATATTCAGACAAGAACAGTTGGAAACACAAAAAACAGCACATGAGGGTATTTTTGCAGAATTTATTTTATAGTACTACTTAAGATAAATTAGTTTATGTGTTATACAACCTGGTTGTAATTCGGATGCATAATGAAATTATCTTTTCTTTTCATGCTATTAGTTGTGCTATTGATTTCGTGTAGTATACGTTTATTACATTAATTGACATGTATAACTTTGATTTAATTCAACTTTATTTTCCTTTTGTTCTTGCATGTGAAGTTTTTTTATTGCTAAAGTTATAAAGTGAGAGTGAAAATCTTCTGAAATTTTTTAGACATCCAAGTGTATTACCCAAATTTATCTTGATAGTGTTGGATGGCATTGGGAAGGGGCTCGATCCTCGATTGATATTATTGAAATTGCTGAAGCGAAATATAACATTGTGGTTAAGGTAATTTATTATTTTTTTTCTACTTTTGCCATTTCCTCAAGAAATAATGTCAATTTTCCGTCATACGAAGCTTGTCCCCATATTATTCTTCATCCAGATTGTTGAGGAAAGGTTCTCACCCATTTATTGAGGCTCGTGCTACTGGGTTTTACTAAGAAAATATTACCCTGGGAGACATACTGGACACTCTTTGGTATTGATTTGGTTATGCTCTTGATATACGATGTAGCTCATGTATCAAATTGCCTTCTTTTTTTAGCCATGAGGGCTTTAGTGTTATCTTCTTCTCGTAGCTCTCTCTGTATTAAAAATGAATGCTTGAATTTTGTTATTTGATCTAAAAAATTATTTCTTACAGGAACTAGAAGATGGGACAGTTTGTTTGTTGTTATCTATCATTTTATCATCTTTCGAGTTCTTTCAATTTCAATATTGGTTAAAATGTTTCCATATATTTGTTCATCTGAATTTCTTCAAGTAACTTAATTGTCCTTATTAAACATATAAATGACTTTTTTTATGTTTAGAAAATCTCTGCATATTCAGGAAAAAAAAAAAAAAAAATTCTTCCACGGTAGTCATAGTGAACATTGAGTTACACGAGAATTCAACGCATTTAATAAATTAACATCACCTTAATGAAAATTCAGCCTGTGCATGACTAGTTCACTTAAAATATTATTTAGCATGTGCCCTAGAACACATTCGAGATGGCAAAGACAGTGCAAGGCTGGGCTTGTAACCCCAGTGTGGGGAGTTCGAATCACGGACAGAGCAGTCAAGTGTTGTAATACCCAAACCATGTGGTGGAACGACTTGGTGATGTAAATCCGGTACAGGAGAGTGTGGGGAGTTCGAATCACAGACATAGTAGCCAAGTGTTGTAATATCCAAACCATGTGGTGGAGCAGCTTGATGACATAAAAGTCGGAACAGGAGGGCTCCCTTGGGGTCAGGAGTATAAAGCTTACATGAACACTGGCTTGATTGTGCATAACCCGCGATTTACCTCCTTCCAGAGTTGATGCACCGATTTTGGATGGTTTAAGATATAGTCTGGTGTAAGTTGGAATAACTTAACATAAAAAAAAAAAAAATTATTCAGCATATTCTCTCTCCTCAATCGACCTGATCTGTCATTTTCCTTGTCCCTTAATTTCTCTCTTCATCATCATCGTTTGTGCCGAAGAAAAATCAATCTCCACTAACTGTAAACCCAGAAAAAGATAAAGTTCTTTTATTTCCTTGTGTCTAGTAATTATGGATCTCTGGTCTGTACAAGTGAAGAGCAATAGTTTTCTGCTTAGGAATTCGATTCTTGAGAGACCCATTTCACGGAACTTGAGCAATTCAGCGATGGCTTTTGAGATCAGGAAATCATTTTCAGATTCTTGTAAATATCGATCAGTTCTGGTGAATGCTATGGGGAAAAAGAATAATGGGAACTCCAATTCTTCTTCTTCTGGTAAAGTTTCCTTCTTCTTTTATCTTTCGATTTTTCATAGTTTTTGTGCATAATTTTATTTTTTTCCCCCTTGATTTGGTTGAAGGTAGGTTGAGTTGACTTCTCTTTTTTCATCTTAAATATTACCCACTTGCAATTAGTATATTTTTTCTAAGAATGCCGCTTTTGAAGAGTTCTTTCCAAAATACACACATACACGCACGTGACTGATCTCTCGAGCAACATTTAAGCGCCGGATGTGGCACGCTATAATAATGGGAGATATTGATTTGTTACAAAACTTATTGCACCACATATTGTACAGTATCAAGCTTAGGAGATCAATAGCTCGCTCGTGTGTGTGTGTGTGTATATATATATATATATATATATATATATATATATGAAAGAGAGAGAGAATTGTAAGAGTTGATAGAGCACCACTTATGGTATCTACTTTTTTTTTCAATCAAAAAACCTCTTGTATATTTTAAAGTTTAGTTTGTTGTATAATATTTGTGTTATTTATGCTTTTTAGCTCATTCTAATGTTGAATTCATAATGCTCTTGAAAAATGGTCTTCTTATGTGAAGGTTTTGCAGTTGGAAGTGTTGAGTTTATTGTTATATAGGGAAACGATTTTTGTTGGTTAAATGTAAAACAGAAGTAACTCGATAATATATTGACATAGCGAGTGAACAGAATGTTAAAATATTTACAGAATCTTGTATATTGCTCTACATGTAATTTACTAGTCCAGAATGTGATGAATATATAGAGTTTGAAGTGATATTTTGTATCTTATTTAACAGGCACATCCTTTTACTATTCTGAGATGCAGCTGAAATGGAAGAACGTGTAGAAGTAGTGTTATATAAGCCAAGAATTAAATGAACTTTTTACGGCATTGGAAATTACTATTTTAAGGAACTTGAGTAGGCACTTAAAAGAAGGACCAATGGACCATTTTGTCTCTATCTCTCCTCTAGTGACCATATGTAGGCTCATCATTTGGGTTTTTTTGGATCGTCTCTTATTCAACTAAAATTGCATCTAATATCAGATGTATAGTGACAAGACTCGTATATCTGATTTGCAGCTTCAGTTCAAGATTTTTCTTCTCTTCTTATCTAGGTACATAGCAAGTTTTGGTTGTAGGCTAGACTCTGCAGATAATTTTTCTGAAAGAAAGTACTGACTGAAATCAACCAGGCACTCATGTATGGATTAGTTAATTGTCCTTGCTAGCATACATTTGAAACAAAACTCATAGACATCTTATCTTACTATATCCATCTTCCATGTACCAAGTGGAGTGCTCCTATTACTCGTCAAAGTGATATGCTGAAGTGTATAAACACTTGAAATATACTTGTAAGGAAAGCGTGATTCTAGAGACCAACTGCTCTCAGCTTGCATGCTTTACTCTATTCAGTAACTCTAGTTAGAACTCTCCAAATTGTTCCTATTTCTAATCATCTATTTTTTCATTGTTTTGGGTAATCTAGTATCTATTTGAAACTTGAACTTGCTACAATTTCCACTTTATGGAAATTATTTACATTTTTCAGTGGTTCCACATCATCATCACGAGGGCCAACATAAAGATGAATAAGAACTGCTGATTATCTTCAGGACAATTTGTTGAATAATTAAAATTATGTTTTGGTGAAATCTGCATTTATTCAACTTTGTCATCTTTGTAATTTCTCTGCCCCCTTCTCTGTTTTAGAAATTATGTGTAATATAATAATGTGTATGCTTTAGAGGGCTTGTTTCTTTTGAAGTGATTTTTAACGGGTTGATTTCATCCATGGCCACTCAACTTTCAGAAAAAAATTCATTAGACTTAACTTTCTTTGTCTCAGTTAGATAATTGAACTTTAATTTGATTGCAAACTACACCACTCTCTTAACTTCCATCACCAACTGTGACTAAAACTAAGGGTGCGTTTGATTACCAATATTTTTTATGAAAAATTTGTTTTTTCCACTTAATTTCCTACTTTTGTGTTGTTTTATTTACAATTTTTTTCAAGAAAAATATTTTTCTATTTTTGATCACATGACCATATTTTCTTTGAAAACAAGGAAAATATTTTCTTTGGGGAGATGTAGTTTTTATTTTTCAGGTAATTCACTCTCTTTTTCCTGTCTCATCTACTAATATTTTTTATATTGAAAATTAAAGGAATCAAGCACATTTAATTAATAATTTTCATATAAATAATTTATAGGCAATTGAATTATCTAGAATTTATTTTCTTTTCATGCAAATTCCATGCTCGCAATCAAACGCACTCTAATGGTAATTGCTGGCAGTCATGCAAAAATGGCCATTCCATCTGTCGTTGATTAACATGCCTTCTCATCAATTTTCCACATCACAAAGTTGTTNTTTTTTTTTTTTTTTTCCTTCCTCCGGACGGCTCACAGAGTGCATTTGAGAGGTTGCCTCTGCATTGGAAGAGCCATTAATTGCGAATGGGCCATCTCCAGCAGGGCAGAGGCTTTGTAAAACTTTGTATGGAAGAATGGGTGATTAAAGTATCGTAAAGATTTTTGAGAGCTATTTGTAGCCATGTAGAACAATCAAGAACCTGCTTTGTTTGCTTAAATCCTCTTCTAATCTTGAGTTTTTGCACTAAAATCTGCAATCTGCCGTCATTGTATCCTTATGGGGGATTTTTATTTGCATGGAAGTAGATAGTAGTCCCATTTCAGAATTGAATGGTTGCTGCTTCAAATGATACGAACACTTTTGTGGAGAAGAATTTTTAAGTGCTCTTGGAGGGTGGGGGGGGGGGGGGGG